GAGAAGTGTGTTAAACTGTTGAACTGACACATCAAAGTCTGTTGATAATTAAATGTATTCCACTGAACTGAGAATTATAAAAACATGCTAGCAAATAAAAGGGAATGTGGAAATTATAGATTTTTGCTGCAGCAGGAGTAATTTACCAATACATTATTACATGATCAGGATGGAATCAGTGCATGTTTACGTTAGTGCAGGTCAACCTGTAAGATTTTGAATTTTCTCTCCTAATAAAGCACTTGAATGGGTGGTTTGAGTAGAGTTAAAACACCCTTTAGCTGTTTTGTTTTTTATCTTGTTGTTTTCTGCCAATTAATCTTAATGTAGCTGCTGAACTTTGACCTCATAACATGAAGGACTGAGCTTTTTAATTGAAACAGTCAGGTGCTGGCATCTAGTGGACAATATTCTCTTGCACAAAGAAAACAAAATAAGTTCCCACTGCTCACAAATGTAGAATAATGCACTTATCAAATTCTTCATGGCAGATTTAGAATGCGTGAAATAATTAATTTCCTTATTTTATTTTTTTACATGTGTTTTATTTTAAGACAATAATCAGAATCTTAGATATGTAAAAAGTTCTCAAGTAACAACAAGCAAAGTTGGATAAACTAACTTAATTAATGATAAATGACCTGCACTTGTATAGCGCCTCTCAGAGTAAGGACTCCAAAGCGCTTTACACTACAGTGTATCATTCATCCATTCACACACTGGTGGTGATGAGCTACAATGTAGCCACAGCTGCCCTGGGGCGCACTGACAGAGGCGAGGCTGCCGAGCACTGGCGCCACCGGTCCCTCCGACCACCACCAGCAGGCAAGTGGGGTTAAGTGTCTTGCCCAAGGACACAACAGCAGAATTCTCTGTCCGGAGCCGGGATCGAACCAGCAACCTTCCGATTACTGGACACACTGGATTAACTCACACACACACACACACACACACACACACACACACACACACACACACACACACACACACACACACACACACACACACACACACACACACACACACACACACACACACTATAGTGGTGAAAAGAGACATGGTAATTGTTACCAAACCAAGAAGTCACCATGGAAGCAAAAAGGAAACAGAAATGCATCTCTCTGAGAATGGCCTGTTAAAATTGTAGCAATGAAGCCCAGAAAGCAGCAGCTGATGTGCATGAGTGTGTGTAATCCGAGCTGCTGGCTGAGTCTGTGAGAATGGCATTCTGGAGCTACACAATAAAACCACGGGGTTTTAACTGAACCCTCCTGATGATCAGGATTGATCTTGTTCATCATTACAAGGGATTGTTTTTATTTAAAACAGACCTTTTCCAAACACGTGTTTTAATCCACAATCTTGGACTGAGTTACAAAAAACTGCTACTGATCAAATCCTTTGTCTTGAATGAGCTAAGTGAATGTGTGAGGTTACATTCTTTCATCCAGTGTTTTTAGAGTGCATGCCTGCAAAAGCCTGTTGTGCAACTCTGGTTTTTGGTGCAACGTGAAATCATAAGATCGCATTCACACACTAATTAGGAAAAGTACGGTTTGAAAGTTGCCCAACTTGACCTTCAGCTCAGATTAGTAAGCCACCGTTCCCAGTGAAGCAAGGCAACTTGGTAGAAAGTTGTGTTATTTAAACTGTGACACTAAGGTTTGTCTTTATTCCTTTAATTTGGGTGAGAACAGTAAAGTAACACATTCACTGACTTTTTTTGCTTAATACATATATAATATATATAATTAACAAATCAGTGGCAAGTTTGCAGTATTTAAAAATACTCTCACTTCAAAGTCTGTTTGAATGCTGATAATTTAGCAGACTGTTTATGCTGTTTGTCTCCAAAATTCTGAATATCAGTAAAATAATGAATAACTGAAACTCTCTTGACGACACTTGGAGCAAAAAACTCATTCATCAGTGCAATGAATGCACTGTCTTGAATAATGTTAGTGCTGCTAAACATTTGCGTATCACTGCATTCAGCAAATATGTATTTAAATTTATTATTTTTGTTTTTCTTATATTTTGTTGTTTTGTAAGACACACTATTTGAGTGTCATCTAGTTGTAGCTTGGCAAGTCATCCTATATGTTATAGTCGACCCATAGATGGATCTCAGTCAGAGGGCGGAGTCTATGATTGTCTTTCAAACTGTGCCCACATGCTATTGGACAAGGAACAATGTCACATCCTCACCGCTACGGATGTCAGTCAACGGGACAGTTTGCCATGCACTGTTCAAGAAGACGCATATACATTGACACTCAGCATTAAGGGGCTGGATTGTGAATTAAACCACCCAATGGCTCCCAAGTGGGGCTGTGTCTGCAGCTCACCACTCCCTTAGGGGATGGGCCAAATACGGAGATCAAATTTCACACACACCAGTGTGTGTGATAACTAATGGGACTTTAACTTCAACTTAAGTTAATCCAAAAGCTGTTTCAAACGACCAAGTCTTCAATCAGCCTAAAAGACCAGGGGTCTCATTTATAAAACACTGCGTAGAATCCTTACTAAAACCGTACTAAAAACGTTCTTACGCCAAGTAGGTTTATGACCTATAAAACATGGAGTACGTTCTTGTTCTGTGTGTGCACGAAGCAGTACAAGTGATAATGCTGCTGGAACTCATAATTGCATCCTTCTCAGCAGCAGCACTGCAGGTGCTCTCCATGTCCAAAATGTGCGTAAGCCAGGTCCTTAGTCAACTTAAAGTTGTGCACATTTTTCCGCTACGTTTTCTTTTATAAGTCCCAAAGTTTGCGTGGAAAGTTGCTCACGCAGTTTTCCGACCACGTTTTGTGCGTAAGCAAGCTTGATAAATGAGACCCCAGATCATGGATGTAATTTTGGGGGGGGGACAGGGGGGACATGTCCCCCCCACTTTTTCCAAAGTCAAGTTTTGACCCCTGCACTTTTTACCATGCAAAAGCAATATTACTTTATATTAAATTGACACTGGTTGAGCTCTAGGACCAAGTAGAAATGTTTGTGTTGAAGCCTGTTTCCCATTAGAACATACTGTAAAGATTCCCCCCCGTGTCCCCCCCCCCACATCTAAAGAGAAAATTACGTCCATGCCCCAGATGTAGAATGACCTACAACGCACTACCAGAACAGGGGCGTCCTTGTCAATTTTCCAGAAACTCCTAAAGACCCAGCTCTTCAGAGAGCATCTTCTAAACTAGCAGCCTCCCAACACGTGTCCCCCACTCCACTACACACTCCATGTTCAGTTCCCTCTATGATTGACCATGCTGCCTCACTGCTACCTAGGATTGACTGAATAGTGTTTGTTGTTAGCCTCAAGGGCAACCTGATGGCTTGATTATCACCTGTAAGTCACTTTGGACAAAAGCGTCTAAATACATAAAAGTAAACATAAATACTAATACCTAAATGCTAAGTTGCTCCCATGCAGAGGTGGACTGGCCTATCTGGCTTATCTGGCATTGTCCGAGTGGGCCGCTTGCCAAAATTGTGCGTGTGCAGAAAAGATACAACTCCGCAAGTGCAAAAGCTCGCTAAGCTAATCTTCTCCTGTCATTTGCGTCCGGAATGGTCATGCCAATTTGGTGAGACCAACATTTGTCGTCTTTTCACACATAACCTTGTTATGTCGGCCGTTGTATCAGAAAGTAGGCAGAATATCCTTTTCTGAGCTTGATTTGAAGCTGCGTTACATGTAGCAGAATCAGGTATCCATCTTAACTCCTCTAACACATCTCTTCTTCACTCCCTCACATGCTTACGTCCTCTCCTAGGCTGAACCCTAGTGGTGGAGATAACAAACCTAAAATAACTTTTGCCTCCATTCAACAATGAGCACTTTCTTGTTCTATAAAATCTTGATCTTAAAGATCTTAAAGGCAGTCATCTTTCCTTATTTCCAGGGACCCGTGGTCGGGACGTAGATGGGCATGGCTTAGGCTCCCTACAGCAAACCCATACATCAAGTTAGACTTTGAATGCAAACACAGTCACGGAACACGCACCCCTTCCCTCGGTATCTTCCCTGAGATGCTTCTACTGGTACAGGAAATCCGCGATGACAGACAAAGTGAGATAGAGCTGTTGCAACACATTCTCACACCCAAGACGTCCAAATATGACACGTGTGACCAAGCGTCAATATATGACGATTCGGGACGCCCCAGCGCGTCAGAAGACGACGATCAGGGACTACCCCCCCCCCCCCCCCCCGGCTCTCTAGGAGAGATGAGGAGGGGAGTAATAAAAGTTGTGTGTGGATTAATAATAAACAAAGTGAAGTGTCGCTTAAAAAAACAAGAATCTTTATTATAAAACGAATATTTATAAAGACCACAAAAAAAAAAACAACAAAAAAAAAACAAAGGAGCAATATTGAAAAAGGAGAAACCAAAAACGCCAACCCAGAAGGGGATGGGATGAAAACAACCGAGAATATGCTATTTACACACAAGGGGAGATCCGAGGTCAGAGTCTAAAGCCAGTCCGAAGTCAAATTACCAAAGTGTCTAATCTAAGTCCAAATTCCAAAACTGAGTCAAATACCGAAGTCTAATGAGCTAACCAAAAGTGAACGAAGAGAAGAGAATAGTGCAAACTCTTGCGAATTTACATTACCCTTGGACCTTCTCACTGAATGAGACCTAGAGGGCAGCTTTTAACAGCTGAGCCATGATTAGGAGCATGTAGCCACACCGGGAGACAGACGAAGCAGAAGGCCGCTGAGGCCATCCTGTGGCCAAAAAGGAGCGCTGCACGTAACAGGGACAAACAGCTGACGCAGCATCCCAGAGCGTCGGTATCCGACGCCGGTGGTGAGACGGACATTAGAACTACTTGTGAACTATACCTTCCCCTCACCCCAATCCTAACCTTAAGGTCACAGTTTATGGACCTTAAGGTTAGGATTAGGGTGAGGGGAAGGTTAAATAGTGACGCCAGCGGAGCCACGTGAACCAGCATGTCCCTGATCGTCGTCTCCTGATGCGTTGGGGCGTCCCGAATCGTCATATATTGACGCTTGGTCACACACATCATATTTTGACGCCTTGGGTGTGAGAATGTGGCTGATCACCAGTCGCCGTTTTCTAGGTCCAAACCTCTTTTGTTGTCCATGGCTTCAAATGATGTATTTCTTTTTGGGACTCTGGTAGTTTGTCCTAAAGTTGAAGTGGTAGCAGCCGGCTGTTTCACCTTCTCTGATATTATTGAGTGGAGAACCTCTCACACCATGGTGTTCTGTTGCTACAGAAGCGAGTGCATAAAACAGCTCTCAATCCTGCTCTTGGTGGGCTGGTATCCAGCACATTTTAGTGGTTTCTCTGCTCCAACACACTTGATTTAGTAGTAGAATCACCTGTGCAGCAGCTCATCCAGCTCTGCAGGAGCGTTAATCAGCTGCTGATTGAAATCAAGAGTGTTGAAACAGTGTTTGAACTAAAACATGCTGGATACCGGCCCATGGGACCAACAACTGGATGCTCCTATCGTTGCTTTTGGTGTTATTGGTGGAGGATTTCAGACAAACGCAAGAAACCCACTTTATTATTTTTCCCCGTTTTTCTAAATCTGCAGAATAAATGTGTAGCTTCACTGTGTTAGAAAATTGTTAAAAGACATCAGAAAATAATTAAGCTCAGCTGTTTTCCAAATTTGCTGTTGCAGCTTGAATTTTCACTTCTGCTCCACCAATAAAACCCCCTGATGGAAAAACCCTGGAGGACCGGATGCAGAGGTTCGATGTTCGTTCCGCGTCAGCTGCAGTCCGGAGCTGCGCCTGCTGGGAAGACGGTCAAGGTTCTGCTGCGGATTCTGGCTATTTGGATTTGAAAACTTAAATCGTTACGGAGGAAAACTTAAGGAAAAGATAATCTCACAGAGCCGTCTGGTGTAGGATTTTCAAAACACCGATCCCCGGTAGGAGCTGTTGTTCTGCGGTCGTCTGTGTTGCGCCTTTCTGTCCCTTAGCGGCTCTTTGTCTTTGTGCCATTACAAAAAATAAATATTATAAGTAATCGCGACGAGTTGACAACGTTGCCAGCATCTAACAACATGTCTACTGTAATTGACTTGCCTCTGACAGCTGACCTTTTGGGCATTTCTTGATAAATACAAATTTCACTTCATCATTTGCCTGTAATACTCACCTGTAAACGCGCTAATTAAACAATTACATTTCTTAAAATAATTTTGTTTTTAAACGCATTTAAAATGAAAACTAAGCAGAAATGCAACCATCTGGTTTTTGAGAGGACTGTTGCAGATTTCTGTAAAGCCCTGGCTTGCTGATATAAAGTTGGATTTAATCAGTTATTATCCCATAATACTTCAGTTATGCTTCTGTTATTATGTGCATTAGCTCTTAGTGATGATGAGTTCAGGGACTGATGTAAAATGTGGAATATTTTTCTGGCTACTTGGGAACTTTTTTTAATCCGAACTCTGAAATTCAAATGAATGCAGCCACACTAAAAACCAGCCAGTTATGACCACCAGCTGATTTCTGCTCATCTCTACGTTTAACACGGTGATTCCTCTCATTGCAGACCGTCTCCATGGGAATTATGTTGGTGGTAGCAGTAGTCCTGAAGCTATACGCCATTGGAACGGCACTTTCTTTGCTGGCCATCCTGTACGGAGTAGCGGACTCCTTCGGAGGGCTCATGTACTCTCCAAACAACCTTTATATAGATGAACGGAACCATCCGATACAGGAGCAGCTCGCCTCCAGCAGCCACCAACGAGGATACTCCAAAAACATCGGCTCCTGATGGATTTTCAATGCTGAACTTTACTTTACAGCTAAACTCAGAGAAAAATCACTGCACTACTAAATGATGGCTTGCACTAAAGCTTTGAAATGTTTGTTTGAAAAACCTTTTTTTTATTGGAGCTCCTGTTTGGAACAGGAAAAGCATCAGCAGTGGATTTGACATCACTGACGGGTCCAAACGTTGTCAGGACCTGTTCCGACTTTCTCGGCCCCTCAGGAGAGAAGCGTCGTGCCAAGACTGTGAATCACAATTCATTAGTGTTCTTAAACAAACTGTCATCATGACGTGTAACAGCAGCTAGATCCAGTATGTCTTTGTAAACGTGTGTGTAGTTTGTTCTGCTGATTGGATTTTTTAAAATAACGATTGAGATAAAAAGCAGAATAAGGTAGAAAATGAGAATTTTATTTCTGAATTAGGATGGATGCTGACAATAAATGAGCAGAATGATGAAACCACTGGTGTTTTCGTTGAATTTGTCTCCAGCTAACAGGAAGTGCACTCCTTTTAAAGAATTGTTTATCTTGCTGGAGGGCAACTTCTCAAGGTGAAATTTACGGTTTTTCCTGATAGAAACTACTCCCATCCCATCCTCTAGTATGTTAACCCACACAGCAGTTGACCGCGGTGACTCATGAGGATGTTTGATGTCGACATGCCTCATCAAGTAGCTGATCACAGGTTATGATTCACTTGACAAGCTTTTCAGAACTTGTCAGAAAACTTTGAGCCAAGCACAACCAGAAGATCAATATTCTGTCATTGTTTCACTTGTCATATAAAACCAGTTTAATCAAATATGTACTCAATAATTGTTTCTGAGCTAATTCGGTACTTGGAGGGACTTGGTGAGATTTTTTATTTTTAAACCAAAACAACTTTACCTTGTATATTATTATCTGTCCTTTATTTAACCAGGTGAAGACACACTAAGATACAAAAATCTACTTTCGAAGAGTCAGCTGGTCCTGGAAGGAAACACAAGGACAATACAGAGTTACACAGGGTCGCACGTTCAAACGGAGGCACAAAGACATTAATTTTAGTTAAGTGAAAATAATAAACTTAGAAGATTCTTTGAGTAAAGCAGCTTGGTGACCAGAAGTCAGGCCTTGGGAGGTGAGGAGGAGGTGCAGAGAGCCTCTTGCCTCGAGAATCAGCCTGAAAAAGAATAAATATCATGGATGAACGAATACAAGATGGAATGATGAAACATATCTGACCTATACCAGCTTCTAAAACGATTCAAAGCAAGCTGTTGTATGGTGGGGTGAGTACTCCTCCATCTCTATAACATCTTTGAGTTCTTCATTTCAGGAGAGGGAACTCACCAGCTGTGGGGCATTAGTAATCAGCGGCAGCTGCAGCTCCTCAGGTCATCCGCAGCGAGGAGGAGAGAGAACTACTACACTTTGCTGGATGATTAGCTACTCACGGCAGTATCTGGCCTCTCGTTCTAGGATAATGCTTGGTTTCTACTCTGATAATTTGCTGTTACAGTTATTGGAAATTTTTGGATAATTCCTGGACTCTTGTGTTGGATCTTTTTGGACTCAAGTTTGTATTTCTCTCCAGGATTCCTGGACAACCTTCCCTGACGCTCTGGGTTTGTTGGATCTGATCCTCCATCCGAGAAGCGGAACCAGTACTGGATTACTCACCTGGAAAGAACCATAACCTACCTGGACTTCACAGTTCGCCTCTCCTCTTATCCTCTGCCACCCCGCCTGGCTCCCTCTCCTGGACTCACTCCTTCACCCCACCTGCCCTCCTCGACCTCCTCCACCTGCAGAACTTTGGACTCTCTCTGGCTCCAGCTAATCTGGGACTATTCCAGGGACACTTTTTGTTAGATTCCTGCAATAAATCATTGTTTTTAACTTTCCGCCCTTTCATGTGGCGATTCTTCATGTCGTGGGTTAAACACATTCCCAGGAACATGACACTAGCTTCAAAAAGTCCATCGTGACTTAGTAGCTTGTCCAAGTGGAAAAACCAGGAGCTAGAAGTTGACATGATTAATTGTTATGGTCATGTTATGACATGATTGAGCTGTTTCTGCACAGCTCTCTGACGGTTACACCTGTGTTTCAGTAACATCGAGGTCTGAACTTGGACAGGACCATTACAACACCATTATGCTTTTCTGTTTCAGCAATGCTTTGCTGTTTGGTATCCTTCATGGCTGGTTGTAGGGGGTGCATGCAGGCTAAGGCCAGCTGCACTGTTAGAGAGGCAAAATGCCTTTAAAGGTGTGGATCACTCTTTTAATCAATACATTTGCAGTGGTCTCTAGTAGGAATGACTACCTTGCAAGTTGTACTCTGGAGAAAAAAAGCTCCAGTGCGCCTGTTTCTTAAACTAGAAAATTGCCACATCACAGCTTCAGATGGCAGCATTTGGACTCTTATTTCCTGATATTTGAACATCTCACCTCTGATTGGCTAATAGCAACACAACTCTACCACTGACTCCAGCTGCTTTGCAACATTGATGTTTTATCTCCACAATAACACAAGCCTGAAGGAGTTTTGCTGCGTTGTGGAGTTTCTAATGCTAACGGTTAGCTTCTACTTATCAAGACGGTCTCTGCTGTCTGAACGCTAAACCAAAAACAGCATTCCACTTTGCAAGTCAAGATGGGTGAGTCCATAAATGTTAAGTGACAGTGTGACGTAGATCTGCCGGGCTTTTTAAATTCTAGAGTTTTACCGTCTATTTTCTATGAGAAGCTAATGCAGGAGATAGGTGTAGGAGACTTTTTTCAGGTTCAGCGTGCATGAAAAATGCAGAGTGACTGATCATAATCAGAAATAATCATTAAATATGGCTTTTCAGTGTTCCACACCTTTGGGGATTTCAAATTTCAAACAGCAGTTCAGTAACTGAACTTCAGTTACAGTTTCTTTAGCTTCCGTAGTTATAGTTTCAAAATATAATTATTTTGCAAATAATTCATCTGATTTATTTATGTAAAAAGTGAAAAGAGTTGTCTATGCTTCTTTTTTCAATTTCAGATAAATTGAAGCTTTTGTTCCACGTCTTGCATTGGGCTGAATTATCCAAAAAAATAAAAATCCAAACTTATTAATGCTTAGGCTCCGCCCTCAGAAGGGGTCATAGGGGGCTCCAAGCTTGCTGTCAGGGTGGAACTGCCTCACCCTGGACCCCCCCCCCCCCACACACACACACACACACACACACACACACACACACACACACACACCACCACCACCACCACCCGAGCCACACCTGGTATGTTTTTTTTCTGTTTCATGGTCCTTTTAGGTCAAAGTGTGGAGGACCGCTTTGCACCCAAACCATCAACCCTTCACCCTCGTGCTGGCAGTTGTTATGAAATGTGCTGATAAGCTGTGTTTGGTTTTCACTAAATCTGATGCTGTTAATTACAGGTAAGCATCTCTATTTCTGCTTTATTCAGAAGCCAAATAACAAAGCTTTATTCTGGAAACTCTTCTAAACACATACATGCTCTGTAATGAATAACCTGCTTAAGAAGGCTTGTAAACTGTTGAATGAAGCTCCTGGATATTTCCTCTGAGCACGATCCGACCAGTGTCTCAGGTGAATCATAGGCTGCTCTATTGTACAATTGAGGATAGATTTGAACTCTTTTTCGTCATACCTTTCAGCTGAAAAGCTGAAATACTACTTTGTACGATGACTAAACAAGATCCAGTTAAAAAGAAAGTCACTTTTTTTCTTGGTTTCTCGGAACCAGAAACGTTGTTTGACATGATTCATCACTGATGTGAAATCCGTTTTTACTGTGGGAATTTCTTACTTCATCCCTTTGCACAATAAAAAATGCTTTACCAGGAAGTCGTGTCTCGTTGCTACACCAATAATTTTAAAGTCATATCTGGAGGTTTTGAATAAACTGTTTGGAGGGAAAGTGAGCAAACTGACTTGGATTAGTTAACACATCAGCCAACAGCAAGGCGGTTCAGTTGCACAGCTGCCAACAAATGACGGGCAAACACGCTTGCACTTTCATGTCTTAAGTAAAACCAGGCGAGTAAAAGTATTTTGTCTCTCGAGGCAGTTTGGTGTCTGTACGGCAAAGCAAAGCAAGGCCGCTTTATTTGCACTATAGCAAGAAAGAACACGTAGAAATAAAAAATACTCCTGTATTTATACATTTAAAATATTTTTATTCCTTTATTTACTTTTACTTTATACTTGTTTACTTGAATTACCTTATTTGTTCTGTAAGTAGATAAACAAATGGTGTTTTGATTCATGTACATGCCCTTAAGATATTGTGAGCTGACACTAAGACTATTTGACTTGATTTGAGTAAATTTTACTATAACTTCAAAGGAGAATGTTGCAAATGAAACAAAAACATTTATAATTAAATCTAAATATACCAAGTATGGCTGCTGTAGAACAAATGTATCCCACCAAAACAAAAGTGGGGTTCTACAACTGCCTTTGGTCCTAAAAATGTCTCTGCGGACAATCAGTGTAAAATTAGGAAAAGGAATTCAGGAATTAAGTCTACTGCCGTCTAAATTCATTCTTATTTCTCAGTTTGCTTCATCTGTGTGAGCTACAGCAGGGCAGATGCCAAAATCAGCCGCATGACAGCTTGTTTATGTGAAAATCAAGAACCACCTGCTTTTACCGTCTGTAATATAAGTGCTGGTGATGGTTCTCGCCATCCAGGTCATGAGTATCCAAAGAAGTTTGATTGAAAGCAACTGGACATCTTCGGTTTCTTGGAGATATTTTGCTTCTCATCCAATTCTGAAGATTGACAAAGCTCCTTGGATGAGAAGCGAAACGTCCAGTTGCCTTCATATGAACCCCTTTGGATTAATCACCAAGTGGGCCGTTTGGGCAGCCAGGCCACCTGGGAAGTGTCTCCTTTCTCCCAAAGATCAGTCCGCCTCTGCTTGCAAGGCCCTAACCCCTCCATTCATTCTACATGCACATTTTATGTTTCTGCTGTTACAATCCACAGAGATTGAACTCTATTAAAAATAATGAGCGATCCCTATAGATCGATTAATGATAAAAAGTGGGTACCAGACCACTGGTATGTGACACAGAGGGAGCTTGACCAAGCGTCCATGTTTGAGTAGGGAGTGAGGGCATGCTGGTCTCCATGACACTTTAGCTTCCGTTGTTTGGTACAATGCCAGCTGACAAGTAGCTCTACGCATAGTGTTTGACAGTTGAGAGCAACTGACCAGGGGGTGGGGATGGGGACACATGGCGTTTAGGGAGCCCAAGTCTCCCTCCCTTCCATTCGGCACACAGGTCCCCTGGACAAAAGAAAAATCCATCTGGATGGGGCTAAAAATATAAAAGTTATTTTTCTGGTCCTCTTTCACACATATGTTGTACTTCAACTGTACGGATAATGAGAAGTCACTTATGTGGCACCACAGCAGAATCATTTCTCCCCCAGTGGAGCTGCCAATGGTGGACTGGCCATCAGGAGCATCGCTGCCACACCCTGTGACCTCAGATGAGTCCTCCGGGTGTTCACACAAAACTTAAAGGAATTTTTGTTGTCTGTCAAAAATAAGCGCTTTTATTTGGCATGAAACTGTATTTTGAAAATTCACTGATTATCATACATTAAATCCATGGAACTTATTGGCCCACAGACTCCCATTCAGTTTTTTTGGCAGTAGGGACCCATAGACCTGAAGTAAATGGACATCATCTCCTCACCTACTTTCATTTTACAGAAAACTTGAGTGTTTTCTGAATATTTAGTGTAAAACAAATTGCATTTATAATCAAATTTCAATATTAACATATTTGTACATTTTGGTAAATTTAACTTTAGTTGTTTAAATTTGGTTAATTTGATTAAAATAATAAATAATTTAGAATAAACTTTGTTACGTTTGGACTTTGCTCTAAAGATTATTTAAACTTAAATAGTGAGTAAAAGTTATTTTAACTTTGGACTTAATCATTTAACATTTAGGCTGAATAGCAGCTTGTCGACGCGCTACCACCATTCACGAGGTGGATGTTCTTATCTTTTTTTGAAGATGCTGATTTGTTGATCCTCCCTGCAGGTATCATGGATGCGGGTGAAAATGCACCTGCTGGCGAGGGAGGCGCCACTCACCCCACCCCACCCCACCCCCGCCCGGCTGCAGGGCGCAACACCTCAACTGACGCAGACGCATCGGCCACTGGATCTCTCTTCTCCCACCGAGGGCCCTGGCAGTCTCTGATATGATCCGCAGACCCGTGCTCCTCTGTGGGGGGTGCGCCCTGATCCTTTTTCTAAGTCTGGGCGCAGAGAGCAGCCGCCGATGGGGGGAGTCTGTGACTTTCCGCCGGAGTCAGACAGGTGAGAGCCGGGGCAGGAGGGACACCGACCCTCCGACCCCTTCTCACGGTCCTGCCTTCCCCTCTTGCCAACTTCCACTCACCCCGACCGAACACGCGGTTCTGGATGACAACACACACGAGGTGAGTCTGAAACTTACGATCAGATCTGACTAACATAAACAAGCAGCGCTGACTCAGATCATTGCAACATACTGGAGTTTAATGTTATTTGGGAAACACAAGAAGTGAAAACAACTTTGGCTTTGTGATTTCAAACACTTTCACCTTCCAGACAGGATTCAATGGTGATGATGGCTCCTATGTGATTCTCACGTGGGTGGGAGATGAGACTGGAGTAAGTTTTGTGTGTGAAAACTGAACATTATGCCCGTTTAATCCTTGATTTTTTTTGTCATTGATTTAAAAAAGTTGTTTAATAGTCAAAATAAAATCAGAGAAAGAAATATGTCATTCCATCTCACATAAACAATGTTTGTATTTCTCAGGTGATTCTGGTGCTTTCAACCATAAGTACTCCGCTTGACTCGTTTTTAGAAGGAGGCTCATCTCGGCTTTACAGGAGGTGAGTCTTCAGCAGACGCTTCACCAACTAAAACGGACCAAACCAATCATTTTGTTTTCCCATCAGTACCGACTATGGCAAGTCCTTTCATGACATCTCCTACCTCATCAACCGCACCTTCATCAAAGAGGAGTTTGGAGTCAGCGTTGGACCGGGGAGCTCAGTGAGTGAAGCCAGTCAGGGTTCTTCTGGGAGCTCAAACAAGAATAGTTTCAGTTCTTTTAATGTGTTGCATGATTTTGAGGTCATGACTTTACTCAGAATTTCACAAACATGCACTTCTGCAGGAACTTTAAGATGTTTTTACAGAGCAAGGATGAGCAAAAGGCAGATTTTCAGAGTAATAAACATTGAATGATAAATTGAGAAAAGAAATATCTAAATTTCCTCTTGAAGTCAGAAATGCCAGACATGCACTATAGCAGGGGTGGGAAATCCAACATGTTGTCCAGCATGTATATGTTGTTCCCTTGTTCCAAAACACTTAATCACCTGTTGCATCACCTGTTCAACAGGTCATCAATGGTGTTAAAGCAGAGAAACAACTAAAACATGCTGGGTAGCGAACCTCGAGGACCAGGATTGCCCACTTATTCACTTTAGCCTGAAGTCTTCTGTGCATTTTCACATTTGTAAATAAAATGCTCCAAACTTAATTATGTTTGCAGAAATAGTTCTAATTTTCTCCGATTCAGGTTTTTAGGGTCGATAACTGATTTTGGCAGATTTTGATTCCTTTCATATAGAACTGGGATTGACCTTTTTTGTTTTTTGACTGATTTGGAAAATAATGACTCTGGCTGTAAAAATCCACAAGGTGAGTTTAGGCCAGGGTAATCTTGGCACTTTTGAAATCACAATGTTTTAGTTTCAGATTGGCTATTTACCACCAAGCTGAATTCAGACAGTTATTTTAGTTCCAGTCTGCTCTCATCTGCTTACAGGTGATTCTGACTGCAGACATACCTATCGTTGGACATCCAGGTGGGCTCATCTTCACCTCCAAAGATGCTGGGGCAACATTCAGATCCATCCAGCTGCCCTTTCACCTGGCTCAGCCAATCACGTACCACTTCCTGAACCCTGATTACCTGGTGGCCCTCAGCATAGATGTGAGCACTTTGACTATTTGGTCTTCAATTCAGTTCAGTTCAATTTAAAGATGCTTTATTAATCCCAGAGGGAAATTAGAGTTCCAGTACACACAATTCATAGATCAGACATACATACATAGGCAAAGACACATGACAAGAATTGGTGACTGCGGTCATTCGCAATCCGAGTCGCGCTACCTTAATAGAGATCAGAGGGTTGCATGAGGATTGGTTCAGTCTTAAACACTGCTTGTGTTTAAGAATTAATTATTTTCACATTTAGTTTGATTAACACACGGCCTCACATGTGTAGAACACACACATTAAGAACACACCTAGGAGTAAATGCAAATATTTCTGTTTTCTGACTCGCAGGGCGGCCTCTGGCTCTCCCTGGACTTTGGTGCTAAATGGACTAAAGTTCATGATGGGGTGTATTCTTTCTCATGGTGAGGATAAAAGGGAAATATAATTCGTGTGTGTGTGTGTGTGTGTGTGTGTGTGTGTGTGTGTGTGTGTGTGTGTGTGTGTGTGTGTGTGTGTGTGTGCTGTAAAAGCATCATTTGACATTTTTGGTATGTGTGTGAAGTTTGTATCGTGCTGTTTCCTTTAGGGGAGCAGGTATAAACTTATTCTTCAGCTGCAGCCAAGTCGATGCAGGTAAGAATTCGGAACATCTATTTTAGAAGGTACCAAATACTTAATACGATTTTTAAATCTCTTTAAAGGTGCAGTGTGTAAGAATAAAGTAAAATTTCTACAGTGAAATAATCCCAAAACAATCTAATGTTTTAGTCATGTTGGAAGGAAGGCTACACTTAACCCTCCCATTGTCCTCATGGGTGACCCCGCGAGGAAAGTTGACCATCGAGCAGGGCTGATGGTTTATCCTTTGACGTCCATGTGGCAGGGGTGAGGTGGTGCTCACTCCTCACCCCTGAGTACCAACCCAAAAATATTATGTGCACCCCTGGTTATAAACATGTATTTAGGAGTGGGGCCGTCCACACCGTTTGATCCATATCAAGCACCGCTCACGTTGTTTTCAGCTTTGGGAATGAATGGAGCACAACTCCTCCAGACAGTCTCTCTGGGTATCGACTGCCTGACTTACAGACGCTGTGGGTACAACGCTATCCATCTTGCTTGAAGCTGTCAGACCTCCTCACACAGTAAAAGTTGCTGTTATATGTGAATGGACAATAGCCGTTTTGGGGACGGGGCCGGCGAAAGGTCAGTTTGACTACGGCCGAATAAGAGCTCCATAGAACCAAAGCCAGTAACAAGAGCGACCCAAATGTTATTTCTTGTACCCAAAAGAAGCCACAGCGTATTTTTGTTTTACTGGAAAATTGGGTAAAGAAGGCTAGAGGCCAACATTAAGCTAACAATGCTAACAGTAACTTAGAAGCTACTTTTTCAACAGCCAAAAACTCGATATTACAGTGAAACGTTTGTGTGAAATGAATGATGAGTCAAATGTGGCATTTTACTTCTTTTAATGAGTTGTTTGCAGCAATGTCAGCAAACTAGCAGCCAGACGATTAAAACAGTTCTTCTATGCCGGAAACAAATTACCGTAATAAGTGTAGTAAGTGCTCCCTACCTTGTAACACCCAAGAGCGCTAACTCCAGCTATGATAACATATTTTTCTACTTATCAACTTACAGTGTTTGACTCATCTTTGCTTGTTATCTAGAATCTTCTGGTGCTGATCCGTAACTGCAACAGCCATGAAACTCACTAAACAGGAGAGAGATAGATTGCAGTAACCAGATTTGACCACAGGATGTCACCTTACTTTATCCTTTCACACTGCACCTTTAATCTCCTTTAACCTGGTTAGTAAATACACAATAATTGTAGACCATGATGAGCTAATAGCTCTGCTGTGATTATTGGCCTACAAGAGTTTAGACGTTTCTCCATCTTTTCTTCCCCACCAACATTAAAACCCTATTTGTTAGGGACTGTTTCACATCTGTTCAAACACTGTGTGGGGGTCTCTCAAGGGTAGCCACAGATGTGCAACATAAAAATGGAAAATAAATGGAAATCCAAGGACTACTTTGAAAATCAATGTCTGTGTTACGAAAAAGACCAGAAAATGCATGAAAAACAAGACTGAAGTTGGAAAAGAACTACTAAGAGTTAAAAAAGAAAGCAACGCTAACAAAATAAGCATCTCTTAGTTATTTGCAGGGCTGCGCAGTGGCACAGTGGTTAGAGCTGTTGCCTTGCAGCAAGACAGTCCTGGGTTCGCTTCCCCAGCCTGGGATCTTTCTGCATGGAGTTAGCATGTTCTCCCTGTGCATGCGTGGGTTCTCTCCGGGTACTCCGGCTTCCTCCCACAGTCCGGAAACATGACTGTTAGGTTGATTGGTCTGTCTAAATTGTCCTTGTGTGTGGTTGTTTGTCCTGTGTGTCTCTGTGTTGCCCTGCGATGGACTGGCTCTCTGTCCAGGGCGTACACTGCCTGATTGCTCATTGACCACTGGAGATAGGCACCAGCCCCCCCACCGCGACCCCATGTGGACAAGCGGGTTCAGACATTGGATGGATGGATGGACAGTTATTTGCAAGATTCTTAAACCTTTGCTAAAGTAAAACTCAAGAGCTTTTAAAGCACTTTCAAGTTGATTTCCCAAGATTTCCCAGCACCTCTTATTTGCGATATTCTAGATACAGTAAATCTGAATGTTTATTTAAATAATTATGTCACTACCAGGTCCAATAAAAATACATGTATTTTAAAACCAGTCCTTTAGTTGCAGTTTTAAATTGAGATGCACTGGTTCTGATTCTGAGAGCCAATACTGACGTATTGTGCAGCGCTGACCCGTCAATACCAATTTTTGAGATGTTTATTAGCACGTTGTGAGTTTACTGACCAGGAAACATGCCAGAATAACTGCTGTTTGGCATTCAGTTAAAAACATTTTGAGTCACACCTTAGCAGACCATGCTAATGCCGGCTATAGGCCAATACCGATCGCCAGCAGTAAAGATAAAGCAGGTACTTTTGCGCTCCTTGTGAACATCAACAACTTTATTAAGCAGTTTGCAACTTATTTTAGATTTTAATTGCCGTTTCTAGCCGAGCATAATTTCTGTCACATTTAGTTGAGGCAGAGGACAGAGGAGATTTAACGTTGAAGACGACGAAGGATCTGGGGAAAACGTTCACCATAATTCACCAGGACATCTACAGTTTTGGCTACATCGGTGCTTTTCTCTTCTTCTCTGTGATGGAGGACTCGGTAACAGTAAATTATTCTGTAGCACATAACTGCAGTTACAGAAGGGTTGTGATCACAAAAACAAATCATTTGTTTCTATCAGAGGTCTCCTCGTGAGATGTATTTCTCCTCAGATCAAGGCGAAACCTTCAGCCAAGCCTTACTGCCTTCTGCATCCACCGAGCAGGTAAGAGAGAAAAGTCCAACTAAAGTCAGATTTACGTAAAACGTTTCAGGTCAAAGTTTTCAAATGCAGTGCTGTGAAAACGTCAATTTCTCTGTTTTTACATTTGTCACTTTAATCTGTCAAATCAGAAAAACTTAATCAGACATAAATCAGCAGAATAGATTTCAAGCAATGATTTCATTTATTAAAGTCAATAAATAAGTTATAATAGGTGTATCTATACCAAACAAGTTTATTACTTCTTTTGAACAAATGCCTTCTCACGATCGGTTTCATGGTTCTGTCACTGCAATGACCTTTCGCTGGCCACACCTAAGATTCCCTAATTAGTTGCTAATCTTCCTTATTGTGACATCACAATAAGGGACATTTTCAAACAACTTTTAGAAGAATACAAATCCTGGAACCAAAATCTGACAGAAATTGGATGGAGGATTTTAATTCAGAGTGTTAGAGGCAACGGAAACCAAATGGCAACATAAGGATGCAAAAAATGAAAAGCGTCCGCTCGGAGTGAAACGTCTATAAAACAGTCTGGAAAGTAATTCCCTTCATCATAAAAAATGCTCGAAAGTAAGGATGCATTCCCAATTACCATCCTGTTATTCCCTTATTATTGTATATGTCAAACAGAACTAGGAAGACCCGTGAAGACGCCAAACACAATGAGTGTAAAATAAAAAGTCTTTCTTAGGATGCAGAGTTACCAGAGGAGGGCGAGGCAGGAGACAGAGTCGGAGGGCAGGCGTGAGTCAAAACCAGATTGGCACAAGCAGGTACAGGGAGCACGCTGGAGACGTGGTAGAAGACAGGTGAGGGTCGTGATGGCAGGCAGAGTTCAAGGCAGGGGTCAGGAGAAAATCGAGGTCCGGAGGCAGCGATCAGGCAGGGTGGATGGCTGGAGAATTTACAGGCAACGGCTTTCAATAATCTGGCAGAGACTGGATAGCTGGATGGTTCCTTTATAGCAGGGGAAGCTGGTGTGTGAGATGAGCTGAGGAGTCAGGAGCAGGTGAAGTGGATGAAGCTGATGACAGGAACAGGTGAGAAGAATGGAGTTGATTGTGGTTGCCAGGGGAAACAGGGCTTGTCAGGAGCTTGTTGAAGGGACCAGGTGTGCTGAATGAAAGTTAAATGAGGAGGCAGAGGAGGGTGAAGGATGGGAGTCATGACAGCATAAGTAAGAAATCACTTAATTGAAAATGAAACATGCTAAAAGATCTCAAAAAGCAAATGGTAAATGGCTTGTATTTGATTTAGTGCCTTTTAGAGTCCTGGTTATCATCACAAGGGCTTGATTGCAGTTCCACCTAGGAGGGTAGGATTAGGACTAAAATGCTTTTTCCACTTTAGACCAGTTTGGTTTTGAAAGTGCTTCACTCTTCAATAAATAAAATCATCATGAAAAAACTACATTTGAATTTACTCAAGTTGCACAGGTCTTTGAATTTTGCTGATATGAAACATTTAAATGTGACTAAATACTTTTTCACAACAATGTTTACTGAAACGCTGTTAATGTGGGGCGTTTAAGGGTGCGGTTCATTGAGAACCCATTTTTTCTGATTACAATCAATTACTCTGAGTTTTCCATGCAAGCTGGACATAAAAATAGTCTCCTACACCCATTTCCTTCATTAGCTTCTGATAGAAAATAGATGGTGAAACTCCAGGATTAGAAAATCCTGACAGTTCTACGTCACACTGTCACAACATTCATGGACTCACCCATCCTGACTCACGACGGGGAAGACTGTTGTTGGTTTAGTGTCCAGGAATCTGATTTGGTCAGCAAACAGACAGTTCTGTTCTGTTACAATCTGGTCATTTATTTGGAAACTGTGGATATTTTGATAACACTTTACAATCAAGGTCCCTTTATTAAGCATTTATTAACATTACCATTATTTTTAACTATTAAGTGTCCTTCAGGTTAGGACAAAGGGCCAGGAGGTTTGTCTGCTTAGTAATGCATTACCCAATATGGTCAAGCAGTTGTTAATACTTAATGTTAAGAAAGAAAGAAAGAAAGAAAGAAAGAAAGAAAGAAAGAAAGAAAGAAAGAAAGAAAGAAAGAAAGAAAGAAAGAAAGAAAACAAGAAAACAATCTTTTAAATAGCGAGGTGCTTCACAAAAACAAAAATAAGGTATAAAAAGATTTTTAAAAATTACAAATAGGTTTATAAAATGTTAATAAAGGGACCCTTGTTATAAAGAGTTACCAATATTCTTTAGTGTACAACTGCAGAAAAATCTTTCAACCTTTCATAGAATGCAGCTCCCAAAAAAAAAATCCAGATTTTTGAATTGAATCAGGTCTTTCTGCCGAGGATCAGTATTCAAACAGCTGCATTAGCTCCTCTGAAGACGTCTTTGATGACAGGTTTATATAGTAAAGTGTTTGTGTCCCGAGAAAAGACTCCAAACCATTTAAAACGAAGGTTTTCTTCAGGACTTTTGGTTAAAGCTTTTCTCTGAAGTCTCAAACATTCGATCCATTTTGATCCTCGTACATTTCACACACATGAATGGTTCGGACTCTTTTTAAAGTGAGAACAAGAATGGCAACATCTCCCTTTTCAACACCCACTCAACTCACACCTCCTGCCCACACGTTGTGTTGACACTGCAAACACTCCATCTCACAATCATTACACAATGTTTATTTAGGGGATTAAATTGGTCATAAATGAAAACAAAAATCTGCTATCCTAGTGTTTCTCACCCACATGTCCGTCCATATCTGTGTGTGTTTGCAGTTTTACTCCATCCTGGACGGAGATGAGGATATGCTCTTTATGCATGTGGACAACCCAGGAGGTATCAGCCACACACACACACACACACGCGCACACACACACACACACACACACACACACACACACACACACACACACACACACACACACACACACACAGCCATTGCTCATTTCTGAGTCTAGATTTTCTTGTGAGGCATATATAATTTGGTGTTGTGGTGGAAAAGTGTGACGAGGAAAGACTGGAGCTGGTTCTACAGGTTCTACCGTGCTGACAAATAATCTTTTCTGAGTTTGTTTGCATTTCTAGCTGCTTTGTTCTTTTCTTTCTCTCTTGCATCAATACTTCTTATTCTCTCATCGCTGCTAATCGTTGTCATGTTGGTTTTTTTTGCTCTGGCACCTGCTGATCAGATCAGCATGGTGGGACTTCTGAACTGCTGATGTAAAACAAAGAAAATGAGGGGGAGATAGGCTTTATCTTTTATTAGGAGCTGGGGGTAGATTTAAGTTACACTGCAAAAGCTGAAATTTGTGTTAGTGGACGTGACATGAGGACACGCGCCATGATAAAGCCCTGTTAAAGGTGTGGAGCACTGAAAAACCCTTTCTTAATGATTATTTCTGAACATGAAAATAGTCTCCTACACCTATCTCCTGCATTAGCTTCTGATAGAAAATAGATGATGAAACTCTAAGATTAGCAAAGCCTGACAGATCTACGTCACGCTGTCTCTGAACATTCATGGACTGACCCATCTTGACTCACAACGGGGAAGGCTGTTGTTGGTTTAGAGTCCAGGAAACAGCAGAGAACGTCTCGGCTAGTAGAAGCTAACCATTAGCAACTCAACCTCATGGCAGAAGCTCCTCCAGGCTTGTGTTATTGGTGGACATAAAACATCAGCGTTGCCAATCAGTGGTAGAGTCGCGTTGCTGTTATCCAATCAAAGGCAAGATGTCCAAATATCAGGAAATAAGACTCCAAAGCCTCCCGGGTGAACCTCAGCTGTGATGTGGCTCCTTTGAGGGGTGTTTCTCAATGCCAAGGAACCTCGCCTTGATGTCTTGGCCCCGCCCCGGTTGCCTAGGAGATACGTCATCAGGAACCGCCAAAACGTGTTCCAGTGTTCATGTTCTACCGAGGCGTGTGTTCTCTGTTTGTTAGCCGTTTAGCTAGCTGAGCAAGGATACACGGGAGGTGTCTTGTAGCCTAGCCTTGGTCAAAAATTACCCAGAATACACCGCAGTGTTTTCAAAAGGATGGCGGATCAGAAGCCGGCAGCTACTTTGGGGACAATTTTCAAGTTTAAAATTAAGTCAACTAATTTAAAATGTTTTTTTTAAATCCAAAGAAGTTATCTATAGTTGGTTATAGTTGCTTAGTAGTTGCAGCTTCGGTGGCTAGCAGGTTGTAACTCACTTATATATTTAATTTAACAAATAAACACAATTTTAAAAGTAAAAGGCTCGCAATATATTTATATTGAAACGAATACGTATAAAATATAACGTTATCTCCCGTGTCACGTGACATTACATGACTGCTGCGTAAGCCGTGGTCACGTGATTCAAGTCTGTTCCATTTAACCATTTTCTTTGACCAAGGAAGGACAGTGTCCTTGTAAGCAAGACGCCTGGCCTCGCAATACATCGCCTCGCAAGGCCAGGCGCCTTGACATTGAGAAACACCCGAGGTCTCTTGTAGCCTAGCCTTGGTGAAAAGTTTCCCAGAATACACTGCGGTATTTTCAAAGGACGGCGGATCAGAAGCCGGCAGCTTCTTTGGGGGTGAATTTCACTTTTAAAAGTAAGTCAGCTAATTTAAAATGTTTTTTTTTTTTAGATCCAAATAAGTTATCTATGGTTGGTTAGTTGCTTATTAGCTGCAGCTTCGTTGACTAGCAGGTAGTAACTCACTTATATATTTAATTTAACAAATAAACACAGTTTAAAAACTAAAAGGCTCGTTATATATTTATATTGAAACGAATACGTATAAAATATAACGTTATCTCCCGTGTCACGTGACGTTACATGACCGCCGTGGAAGCCGCGGTCACGTGATGCAAGTCTGTTCCATTTAACCATTTTCGTTGACCAAGTAAGGACAGTGTCCTCGTAAGCAAGGCACCTGGCCTCGCAAGACATCTCCTCACAAGGCCAGGCGCCTTGACACTGAGAATCACCCCTGGTTCTCCGAAAGAGTGCACCTGTGATTTTGCCCCCGAGTACGACTTACAAGGCATTCTTTCCTACTGAGGGTCCACCACCTTTAATCAACCATCCAGGTACAACAGCACTCAGTCAGCACTGCCCATCGGGGATTTGGGTGCATTTTCCTAAAATTAGTTTTTCCAACCTTTTTTCCCTGTCATGGTCTGCGTCCTGCGTCCCCCTCATGTGTTCTCCAGCCCCCCTCTAGGTTCCCCTTATGTGTCTCCTTGTGTTCCCCAGCCCACTCCAGGTTCTCCCCATAGGTTTCTGTGCCCTTTTAGGTCTCCAACCCCTCCAGGTGTCCCTCTAGGATCCCCCTCATGTGTACCCAAGCTTCATGTGCCCCTTTTTGTCCCCAGCTCCCTCCCGGTCTCCATCATGTCTCCCCAGTCACCCCTCTGTAGTTTTTCTATAGGTTCAGCTTTTCATGTTATTAGACTCCTTTAGTGTGTGTTTCCTTCCCCACTTGTTAATTAGTCTCCCTTACTCCTCAAGTCATTAGTTATTTATACTTTGGTTCTCCTGTGCCCTGTGTGTCAACTTGATGAAGAAATATATTATCAACATTGTTTAACTGAACAATCACACGATAATAAATCACAATGCATTTTGTGCCAACCACAGCCTTAAGACATGTGTTGAACGTGCCCAAGTCCATACTTTTGAGAGCACCATGTGAGCACCTGTGTGTGTACACACGCTTGCATATGTAAGGTTTCTCTATAGGAGCGTCCAATAGAGAGTGAGAGGGGCCACAGATCTGCCCCCTAAAGATGTGCAGGAGATGGAGGGAGCTCCAAGTCCCAGAGATCCAGGAGCTGCCCCAGAGCACAGGAACCCCAGGGAGACTGCGACCAGAAAAGCACCTGCCCCCCTCGAGAGGCGCAGAGGATTGCCCTGGGGGGCCACAACCAGCAGCTGGCAGAGTCCCGGGAGATATCGGCAGCAAGCCCACAGGCCCGCCCGCAGCCTCCCTAGCCGGCCGAGCCTGGGACCCAGCGACCCGGGACCCTGGAGCGACCACCCACGCCGGGGACTCAGCAGAGCCCAGGGACACAGACCCCACCAGACAGCCACCGGGATTGGTCAGGCAGACACCAAAAATCTTAAACTGAGTCGTGGAGGATGGCTGCTTATACTGAGCCGGGATTCTCTGGAGGTTTCTTCCTGTTAAAAGGGAGTTTTCCTCTCCACTGTCCCTTTATGCTTGCTTAGTATGAGGATTGCTGTATTGCAATTTGCTGGGTTCCTTATATAGGAAACATTATTTCTGATTGGCTTAATGAACTGACCTGAATTGGAATGTTTATTATGTTAAGTGCCTTGAGACGACTCTTGTCGTGATTTGGCGCTATATAAATACACTTGAATTGAATTGAATTGAATTAAACCCCCTGACCCGGGAGCCACGACCCAGGCAGACCAAGGCACCGCACTCCACTCTAGGTGTGGCAGTATATCATCAAAAGAAGTCCCAGGAGAAGGGAGGAGTCAAAGGCCCCACCTGACATATACAGTCATACACAAACACTGTCACACACTCCCTCCCTCATGCTCACACATACACATACAACCAAAGACTTACAAAAATGCACGCCCGACACCCACTCATGCTCCCCATGCACATCCTATTTACTCTGGTCCTGGTACTGCTGCACATTGGCTACAACCATTACCGGTTCCCAGAGTTCGACCCTTTCTGCTGGGGTGCAGATGAGCAGGCCCCCCACCCAACGCTGAGCATAGCAACCCACCACCCCAGACCACAACCGGACGTCCGGCTCTCCCTCCTAGCCTCCAGTCCCAAGAGGCCAAGCGACAACAGAGGTGTGCTAAGACCCCTAGTCTCCCTCCCTGTGCTCCAATATGGTGTTAATGAGTGTTGATGAGGTGTATTCCATGGCTGTGGTGAGCGGGCAGTGCGGGCATCGTCTGGCCTATGCCAGCTGATGCCACCACACCACCCCACTTGCACCCACAACCCTCTGTGTCTAAGTGCAGTTTAAAATTGGAAGTGGGCACCAGCACTTGGGATGAGGCTGAGAAATCCCCCTGCCAACTGCCATTGAATGTGCTCACTCCCAAGGCCCTAAGTGTGTGTTTGTGTGGAATGTCGTCAGTGGAAGTGTATAAGGTGCAAATAAAATTGGGGGGCAGGTTGCCACAGGAATGCGGAAATGGGGTCCATACCCGCACTCCCTGACTTGTCCACCCCCAGTGTCCTATGTGCATGTTTGTGTGATGATGTGAGGGAGCAGGAGGAGAGAAATGTGTGGGGATGGGGAGGAATGGCTGGTTGGGCTTAGCCCTCCAGGGAGCCAGCTCCCCCACTGGCCCCATTAGGCACCTCTGTTGTCAAAATGCCATCCAGGGCATGGAGACCCCCAGCCCATCCTGCCAGGGCCCAAAGCAGCAGCATCACAGAGCCTCACCGAGTCCGAGGGCACCAACCCAGCCCCACCCCAGCAGAATATCTACACCCATTCCTGCATTTGCACAACTTCCAAGAAATAGGACATCCAGGTATTGTTGGGTCCCCCCCCTCCTGGACTTCCCCCTCCCCTGTGATGGGACAGCAGAGGAGCCAAGGTCTACCTGAGGCCCCTGTACCCGAGCCAGGCACTGCTGGCTGTTCCTGCCTTCTTCCTGGCAGCATACATGTCAGGACCCGACCCCCAAGGCCCCGCCCAGATCCCCACACGGGGCCGGCCACCCCCAGGCCCCCATCCTGACCCGCCCAGGGGCAATGCACCTGCCGGGCAGTGGTCCATGGCCACCGCCAAGACCTCCAAGGGGCCCCACTCACAATTTAGAGATTTTTAGGTTAGAGTTTATCCCCTCTGCTTGGTTTTCCCTTCCCATTTAGTTAATTGATTTCACCAGTCTCCCCTCAGTTCTCTCTCAGCACGCACCTGCTCCTCGTCTCCCAATCACTCAGTAACTGCGTAAACAACTCTGTCTGCGTCTCGGTGTTTTGTTGTTCCATTGTCCTTGTCAGCGTTGCTTGCCTAGCATGCTAGGTTTTGGCTTCGTGCCCTACTAGGTTTTCTTTGGACTCATCATTCTAAATATAGAATGTTTAATTTTACATCCTCTCCTGCCTCGTGTCGTTCTGGGTATCTGCGTATTGGGTCCTACACCTCCAACCCACAACATGACATTCCCGTTCTGTTTACTAAGACCACAGATTAGTGGGACTGCAAAGAAAATAAAAGAGGAAAATGTCCTTTTTATAAGAAGACAATTTGAAATACTGTTACCTGAACAGTTTGAGGAGATGAACGCCACTGTGCTCCTCAACTCGACTGTATTATTTCTTTCGCTCCAGTCGTTGTAACTGGGGGTTCGGGGAGACTTTTTAGGAGTAAACTATAAAATCTGGTCTTTTGCTACCTTTGAGGAACTTCCTCTTGGCTGCTTCCCAGTAGAACTCATCAAACTCTCTTCAGTCCTTCACAATAAGAGTCTCTGACATGTACATGTGACCCAAAGACATCATGGTAAATGGCCTGTATTTATACAGTGCTTTCCAGAGTCCTAGAACCCCCCAAGGCACTTTACAGCACAATAATCATTCATCCATTCACACACACACATTCACATGCTGTACCCTGACAGAGATGGGGCTGCCACTGGGCCCTCTTACCTCCACCAGCAGACGATCTGGGTGAAGTGTCTTGCCCAAGAGCATGATGGCGGTGGCAAACTTAGCGGGGTGTGAACCTGCAACCCTCCGGTTACGGGCCGGTCACTTAGCTCCTCAGCCCTGAGAGTTAAAAAACAGATTTTTGTTTAATCTTACTCTGACCACCCTGAGATTAAAAGATCGTACCTGATGTGAGCTTTTATTCTGTGAATGCATCTGTTTCACCCCAGACACCTACTTCGGGACCATGTACACCTCGGACGACCGCGGGATCTTGTTTTCCAAGTCGCTGGAGCGCCACCTGTTTGACGGGCAGAGGAAAAGTGATTTCACCAATATTACATCACTGAGAGGAGTTTATCTCACCAATAGATTAGACATCGGTAGGTTTTAATGGTAATGTATAGGAGAAATGTGAACAATTGTAACCTCAGAGTTACACTCAGTCCTTTTGGACTTTGACTGGATTAATACAGTAGAGTTATTATTTTTTTGGACATTTTGTTTGTTGGAACCTTTCCTCTGTTGCAGAAGCTTGTTTTTGTTTGTTTGTGCAAAAACAGATTGCCTCGTGACTTTTAAATACTTCCAAGTGACACCCATGCAGAAGTCCTATTCAAACATCAAATATTCACAGCGTCCTGGAATTTACAACCAACTTTTACGTTGATTCAACTCATAAAATTGACAGAAAAAGCCCAATTTAACAAATAGAAAATGATATTTTTGCATGGAGCAGGTGATGCGACCGAGCTGTTAGCTAAAAAAGCAAACAGAAATTGGTGTGGTGGTCTGTTTATCCAGGAAAAGAGGAAACCAGAGAAGCACGCAACAGAAGGGAGGAACAAAAACACGCTGCCCACTGGAAACTCAAGACAGCTTTTTCTTAATGAACTTCCTGTTTAAAGTTCAACCTTTGGCTCACCTGATCTGAGCTCTTTGTTTTGTTCCAGACGGCCGAATAAGATCGGTTATTTCCTACAACAGAGGAGGGACGTGGAGACAGCTCAACAAACCAGACAACGTTGACTGTGAAGAGCGTGTGAAGAGTGTACGTTCAGTAGAGGAATCCTCATGTCTTAAATACATCCTCGTTACACTAAACTTCACTAACACACTCGTCTGTGCGTGTTTGTTTTAGTGTAACCTACACATCCATGGAGAACACAGCCGTAACATCCGGATCGTACCCATGCTGGCCCTGTCTGAGCCAACCGCTGTCGGTCTCGTTATCGCTCACGGTAACTGAGCAGGAGTTCACCCACATTTAGGCATTTAGGCAAAAACACGAGGGATTTTGTTGTCTCTTGTTCCCGTCAGGCTCCGTGGGTGATTCCTTGTCCTCGACGCAGCACCCAGACGTGTTTGTTTCATCAGACGGAGGGTACAACTGGAAGGGGACATTAAGGGGCCCTCACCATTACAGCATACTGGACTCTGGGGGTCTCATTGTAGCTGTGGAAGTCCACCATGAAGGACAAGTTAAAACTATCAAGTACTTGAAATCGCTTATTCACTTACACGATAAACAGTTTAAACATTTCAAATGGAGCTCTGAGTTGTGTTTGGCTCCTCAGGTTCACCACGGACGAAGGCCAGTGCTGGAAGTCGTATAACTTCACCGAGCAGTCCTTCTTCTTCGCAGGCCTGGCGTCTGAGCCGGGAACCAAGGCCATGAGTGTCAGCGTGTGGGGCTACCGTCCCGAGGAGGACGGCCAGCCCATGTGGGTGGCCGTCACCATCGATTTCCAGAGCTTCATTACCAGAGAATGTAAGCCGAGATGCAATAATAGCTTTTACTTCACAAATTTTCTTTACAGATTTGGCACCCACGAGCAGATGTTTTCACTAGATCGGGCTGACGCTGTCGGGCAACTGCACTCCGGTTTTATATCTAAATATTTATAGAGTTTGACCTTGCTTTGGTCAGTTTTGGTTTAGTGACATAACAGCATTCTGGCTGCAGCACTTGTGACATCTTTATTTATGGAACCCCAGCAGTGACAGGTTTGAACTGAATTGATCAGGTAGTGACCAGGACTACGAAGAGTGGCTTGCCCATTCCACGGAGGAGGCCATCCCGGAGAGAAACGGCTGTGTTCTGGGAATGAAGGAGACTTACAGGCGGTTGAAGAAGCAGTCGGTGTGCAGAAACGGGCGAAACTTTGTGGTGCACAAGAAACAAAGCCCCTGCTCGTGCACCAGGGAGGACTACATATGGTACATCAGATTGCTTTTAGCCTCATCAGAGAGGTTTTCTGAGGGAAAACGTGTAAATGTCTTTTAAACCTTCTTGGCGACAGTGACTACGGCTATTATCTTCATCCAAATACCTCTGATTGTGTGAGAGAACCAAGCACTCCAAATAAAACCCTTGAGCTCTGTCTGAACGGCGAGGAAGACGAGCTTCTGACTGAAGGGTAAGGATCAAGCCTCTGCATTCTTAAAAACGTCCGCTTCGTAAGGTAATCGGACTCTTCTCAACGTGTCTACAGGTATCGGAAAGTACCAAGTGACAGGTGTGAGGGGGGGTTGTATCCTCATCTTAAAGTCCCAACAGTCATCAGACCGTGTGAAACTACAACCAGCCCTGGCCCTATCACCGAAAAAACATCTCCAGACACATACTTTGACACACCAGTGAGAGTTTACCTCGCCGATCTTCTCGTTTTGGGCACCGTTATGCACTTCCAGACTGAATCAGCTGTTGTTTTCCAGAATGAAAGGCTGGTCCTGGTCCTGGTGTGTACAGGAGCTGTGGCGATCGCCCTGGGAGCTGTTGTCTCTGCGCTGCTTGCTGTCAGGAAGGTGGTCAACAGAAGCAGGTGAGTAAGATGCACACGCTGCTGCAGCATGCAAGCTTTAATCATCAGGGGTCTCATTTATCAAACATTGTGTAGAATCCTTACTAAAACCGTACTTAAGCTCAGCAAAAAAAAGTACTTAAGTAGGTTTGTGATCTATCAAACATGGAGTACGCACAGCTGCACGCAATCTCCGCTTCATAAATCGGAGACTAACGAGAATGTTTCTCAGCAGCATTTTAGTCACATCCCGCCCTCACCACGCCCACTTACTGCCATAAATAGTCAATGCAAAGTGCCTTGTGGATCTCATGCATATACATAAGCCGGCTGTTGCAGCGCTCCGCCAATGACATGGCGACCGTAGATCAAGGCAGATCAAGGAAGCGTAATTTCACAGAAGCAGAAATTGAGGTACTTGTGGGTGGGGTGGAGAAATGAAAGGAAGTGCTTTTGCAAAACAAATAAGAGAAAATCCACGGAGTGGCACAGCGTTGCTGAAGCCGTCAATGTTGTGAATTCTTCAGAGAGATCTGTGGTGGATATAAAAAAATGGTCCAAACGGGATTTGATCCCCAGACTCCTGGCTGAAAGTCACACATGCTAACCAGTCAGCCGAACATAGATCTCCCCTGTACAAGAAGCCAGGGCCCATGATCAATCAGGTCAAAGTGACAGGACACACACTGTCACAGACGCATGACATTCTGTCCCGATCTGTCCCCCTGTCCTTATTCTGCGCTTCAGGCTGTGTGAGTGTGTGTGTGTGTGTGTGTGTGTGTGTGTGTGTGTGTGTGTGTGTGTGTGTGTGTGTGTGTGTGTGTGTGTGTGTGTGTGTGTGTGTGTGTGCGTGTGCATGTGGGGGGTCTTGCTCTGTGTGAAAACGAAACAGTACAAGTGATAATGCTGCAAGATTTCATAATTTTATCTTTCTCAGCAGCAGCACTGCAGGTGCCCTCCATGTCCAAAATGTGCGTAAGCCAGGTCCTTAGTCAACTTAAAGTTGTGCACATTTTTCCGCAAAGTTTTCTTTCATAAATCCCAAAGTTTGCGTGGAAAGTTGCTTACGCAGTTTTCCAACCCCGTTTTGTGCGTAAACAAGCTTGATAAATGAGGCCCCAGGTAGGAACTCATGTTTTTGTTTTTCACAGGGCACCAATATATCGTTTCTCTAATCTTCGCCTCCAAGAAGACAATAACGGGGGTGCAGCTGATGTTGAAAGTGCCACCAGCAGTAATGGAACAGCCTGCCAACCAGATTCAGATGATGTAAGAGCCATTTATGACCAACTTAGGACTTCTGCTCTTTATTTTGTGGATTTATTTTTACATGATTTTTTTCCCCAGGATCTTCTTCACTGACAAAGAGACGACGGCACAAAAATAGAGACTTCTGTCAATATGAATGTAAAGAATGTAAAAATAACTACTGCTAATTTATTAAACTCAGCCTTTTTTTTCTTTTTTTCCCTTCTTTCTCAGTTTGCCTTGACTTCTGTTGTGACTTGTACGGCATTTTTAATGTTATTTATTTGTATTGATTGTTTTGCACCAGGTATGTTTCTTTCTTTTTTAAGAAAACCTGAAATAATCCTGTACAAAATTCTTTTAAATCATCTGACTGATTTGTTGCTGTTTAGAGTAGTAGCCCAAAAATATGAATAAGCATTTTTAGTCAAGTCTGGTGTGTATTTAGCATTGGAAAAAAAAGAACTATAAACAGTAAAGTATGTTCATTTACAAAGCCATATTTTTTAAATTTCTATTTAATAATTAATTTGCATAATTATCATTATAGATAGTATCGTCTTAATATACATGACAGAATACATTTGAGTCAATAGATCCATCCAGTTTATTCCCTGAGCAGTGTCTTGTTCTCCGCAAGAGGGCAGTCGCAACGCGTCTCATCTGTCTCAACCAGAAGAAGAAGGGCTGCGTTTACGTGAACAGAGATTTTCTATAACAGATGACTCACGCGCACAAAATCTTCCAGCGAGATGAAGTTAGATGTCTGCTCCATGGGCCACTTATAGCAATATGATTTTTTTAATGTAATTATTTTGTCATCGATATATATTTATTTTCGAATTCGCATATTTATTTGTTTTTTGTGGAAACGAACACTTTTGCCTATCCATTAAAAAAATTTACGTTTCCGTAAGGGGTTTTAATAATAAAATTTTCATTTGTCAAAAGTCTAATAATATTATCGTTGACATTCAGGAACCTTTCCTGAAATGACCAGATGAAACAACGTTTGCCGTTATTTGTTCATTTATTTATTATCTGTATATTTGGTGTTTCAAACTGTGTCAAATAAATACAAAAATGTAATTTGTGTGTGTGTGCGTGTGTGTGTTTTATTTGTCCTACAGTTTTTGCTCTAAAAAAATTAAACCATTTTTTTGTAGTTGCTATATAGTTAGTATTCAACCCATTTTTTAAAATTTGTTCAAGGCTTCACAAAACAAGGAAATTGCCTCACTAACGCTTTCCCCCGCCGTTCGTTATTTAATTTGTGTTGTTATAATAGACCGGAATTTGTAACAGATAAACTTGTATTCTTTAAATATATTTGTAATTATATGGTGCGTGTTGATTTGCATGACTCCAACACCTAACCTCGTTTTGTTCCGGATTCTGTTCCGCCACCCTCCTTTTATTTCCATACGTAGTGAACCATACGTCGTTATTTGACATCTCTGAAACTGAGCCGTCAATACCGGAAAAGCTCAGGTTAACGCTTCCACCGGGGGATCTGTAGTCTCTGTGGTTACCGAGCAGGTAAAAAGCCTTCAAAACAGCGCCTAAAAGCTCATATTCACATTTTGATGTTACGGTGTTACTATTACAGTTCAAGCACGGGTTAACAGCAATAATTTGACACAAACTTTGTATCTAGTTTACGACTCGCCAAGTCACTAACTAGAGAGATGCTACACTTGTGCTAGCTTTAGCCGTTTAAAAGTCTAACTTTGGTGTTTCACGTTGTCGCCACTCACTCCTGACGTTTTAAATGGTCTTATTTTAAAAAGTAAGTGTTTTAGAATTCATAAAGTTGGGCATATTTGGGGAAATTTACCTTTATGTTGTAGTTAAGCTAATGCTAACATTCCCCAAATAGTAGCGCTTCCTTGTTCATTAGCGTAGATTTGCGTCAGGTGTGAAAATCAGTTAGAAACAAGACTGAAGTGTTCATGTTCTGCTGTTGAAGGTGGCTGACTAGCTGCGAGGAGAAGTGGCCCGAGGCTTCCCAAGATGGTCAGAGCCGGGGGTAGGAGCATGTCTTCATGTTGTTTATTCATTCACAGCTGGTCAACTCAAATCTTTGTTATAACTGGGCTGTTTTTTTTACAGGTGTTTTGAAATTAGCTGCGCTCATATTAGTGTTCCTGCTAGCCGTCTTTATGGCTTTTCAGCTTCTGGAGATCAACGTGGATTTTAAAATTGGCAGCATGGGTGAGTAGCCTACAAGGTGTTAGTCATTACTAAAGGCAGCACACGGAAGTGGGATGGTAAAAGTGAGGCAATCGTCCCAACAGGCTCTTGATAGCTCTTATCTTTTGTGTCACTCATGCTGTTCATTGCCTCTGTATAATTGTGTTTAGAGAGATGCTATTTACTCAAGAGCCTGGCTTGGTTGACTTATTTTTAAAATTATTCATAAAGTCCTTCATTTATTCTTGTTCTTTTAACTAAATGGGTGAATTTTTAGTGAACACATTTCTTGGAACTGGACACCAGAACCTACTGGTTCTTGGTTATTCTCTTCAGGGCACAATGGGGTGCATATTTCAAATATTTAGCCTTTTCTAGCGCACCTTTAAAAAAAAAAGCGTGTCACTAAAGGCTTTTTCACGTCATCGGGTTTGTCAGAGCGTGAAATCCCTTAATTCACTCGGAACATTTCATCTCATGAAAAGGTTCTTGTGCTTGACAGTGAAAAATGCAGCCAGCGTTATTTCGTCTGTCACTGAACTCAGAGCTGTGGCTGATTTAAAAGATTTTCCTACGTTTTTAATACATTTTTTCCCCCCCATTTTCAGCTAAATCTTTGCCGGTGGTTACAGGACGTAAGTATCCCTCACATTCCCCTGTCTTTTCACTTTTTTCCTCCTCTACCTGCTTACTTTAAAGTATTTCTACTCCTTTCTTTTGGTTTTTCCTTACCAGTCGACACAAAAGGGTAATGATTTGTTTATTATGTTGTGCTGTCGTAAGAATGCTTTTAAATATGGTAAATGGCCTGTACTTGATATAGCACCTTCTAGAGTCTTGGAGCCCCTCAAGGCACTTTACAACAGTCATTCACCCATTCACACACACATTCACACACTGGTGGGGATGAGCTACAATGTAGCGGCAGGTGCCCTGGGGCGCACTAACAGAGGCGAGGCTGCTGAGCACTGGTGCCACCGTTCCCTCCGACCACCACCAGCAGGCAACGTGGGTTAAGTGTCTTGCCCAAGGACACAACGACAGCGACAGACTGAGCGGGGCTCGGAACCTGCAACCTTCCAATTATGGGGCGAGCACTTAACTCCTGTGCCACCGTCGCCCCGGTAGACATTACTAAGTTAAAACACGGACAGGCATGTGATATTGTAAATCTTCTAATACAGTAATTTACTCAAGCTCATCAAGCTCCAGGCCTTTATTGGAAGGAGGGCCAGAATTGGAGGTAGGACTCAATTTCTATTTGAGCAAAATGAATACCAGTAGAATGAATAAAAACGGGGTGTGTATTTGAACCTATAAAATACTAGGTTCATTTATTGAAAATGTGCAGTTACCATAATGTGGTACGGTTTGCATATAAAACATTAACAAGGCTAAATTACAGTAGGGAAATACTGTATTGTAACAAAACAGTAGAAAACATACCTGTACTGCATTTTAAACGTTATTAAATACCGGTATTAGAAAAGGCAACCTTGCCGCTTCAAAGTTGAATCGTTTCGTCTCGTTTGGGTTGTAGTAAAAAATAAAATAAAACCCTCAAATTCAGTTCCTCTTCGGCTCCGCACCTGCATGGTTAAAGTTACCCTCACGGTCTATCACTGGCAAATCAAAAGTGAGACGGATGACACAACCGCCCCCCAGTGGTACTTGCTTGTTACCACATCCCATCTGGCCACAATAAAAAAAAAAACGGCCGTTATTCACCTCCGCCGACTCCCGACACCGGCCAAAATGTGATACCCGACCGTTAATTGAATACAGGCCAATATTAGAGGATTTACGGTATTCTGTGTTTTTGACGTTATGCTTTGATATGTTAATAGAGGTTTTTTTTTTTCTGTGTTTACAGCAACAAAGCCGGCCATTCATAAATGCGGGCTGTCCAAGGCGTGTCCCGCTGGACATTTTGCCTTCAAAGTTACGAGTGGCGCCGCCAGCGTGGTCGGGCCTAGGATGTGCCTGGAAGACAAACTGTATGTGACATTTTACTTGCAGCCTTCTAGAAAAACCTATTTGAACAGGTTTTTAGTATTGGTGTTGATGCTTTTTTATTGACTGGATCATGGAAAACATTTCCTGCTGCAGTGCCACAAACCTAGCCATAACGGGCCAGGATGTGGGCACGTATGCTTCTGTAAATATTAGGGGTGTAACGGAATGCTAAAATTGAATTTGGTTCAGTGTTTTGAAGAGCTCGGTTTGATTAATTTTCTGTATATTATTTATTTATTATCTGAAGCAGCTCCTGTAGTGAGCAGAACCAAGTGTCATCACAGGCTGCTGATCTAGCGTGATGTCTAATCATTTCACAGGTTAGGGTTAGGGGCATGGTGGACAGTTTGTTTAAAGTTAAAGTCCCTTTAGTCATCACACACTGGTGAAATTCATGTCTGCGTTTGACCCATCCCCGTGGGGAGCGTTGAGCTGCAGCTATTTGGTGGTTTAACCCCACAATCCAACCCCTTAAAGCTGAGTGTCATACAGGAAGGCATTGGGTCCCATTTTTAATGTCTTTGGTATGACCCGACCGGGATTTGAACCCAGATCTCTCAGGGCAGACACTCTACCACTAGGCCACTGAGAAGGTATGTTTATGTCCAGAGTTTAATAGCGTTTGCATATCTCAGACCGGTGGACATCATCTGTGTTATAATCTTTGGGTTTCAGCATGAACCTGTCTAATTACTGGGAAACCTGCTTCTGTTTTGACCAACACGTTTCACATCACACTCCTCGCCGTGATGCTGAGAAACATCACAGCGACTCAGAGTCCCTGAACAGACAGCTCATCCCATCCTCCGTGCTCATGGACATTCCTTTTTGTTTTGGTGGTTCCCCAGTGTGCCCTAGACCTGTGCTGAAGTCTCGCCTCCTGGTTTGACACAGTCAGAGCTTTCTTTGCATAGATTATGCAAGATTTAAACTCAAAACGGGAGACTGGAAAAAATGTGGGAATAAGAAGGTAGAAGCCCCGCACAAAGCGAAACATCTGGTCACCCTACCCTCCACCCTCGGTCTGTGTGGACTGGGGAGCGCCGGGGGGGGGTTCCCCCTAGCTACCGCCTGGTGCCCGCATGCACATAAGGACAGATGAGTTTGGAGACATTTTGTTCCTTAATTAAATTAGGATTTGAAAACTTAATTTCAGTACAGGGAGTGCAGAATTATTAGGCAAGTTGTATTTTTGAGGAATAATTTTATTATTGAACAACAACCATGTTCTCAATGAACCCAAACAACTCATTAATATCAAAGCTGAATGTTTTTGGAAGTAGTTTTTAGTTTGTAGTTTTAGCTATTTTAGGGGGATATCTGTGTGTGCAGGTGACTATTACTGTGCATAGTTATTAGGCAACTTAACAAAAAACAATCACATACCCATTTCAATTATTTATTTTTACCAGTGAAACCAATAGAACAGCTCCACATTCACAAATATACATTTCTGACATTCAACAACAATACAAAAACAAATCAGCGACCAATATAGCCACCTTTCTTTGCAAGGACACTCAAAAGCCTGCCATCCATGGATTCTGTCAGTGTTTTGATCAGTTCACCATCAACATTGCGTGCAGCAGCAACCACAGCCTCCCAGACACTGTTCAGAGAGGTGTACTGTTTTCCCTCCTTGTAAATCTCACATTTGATGATGGACCACAGGTTCTCAGTGGGGTTCAGATCAGGTGAACAAGGAGGCCATGTCGTTAGTTTTTCTTCTTTTATACCCTTTCTTGCCAGCCACGCTGTGGAGTACTTGGACACGTGTGATGGAGCATTGTCCTGCATGAAAATCATGTTTTTCTTGAAGGATGCAGACTTCTTCCTGTACCACTGCTTGAAGAAGGTGTCTTCCAGAAACTGGCAGTAGGACTGGGAGTTGAGCTTGACTCCATCCTCAACCCGAGAAGGCCCCACAAGCTCATCTTTGATGATACCAGCCCAAACCAGTACTCCACCTCCACCGTGCTGGTATCTGAGTCGGACTGGAGCTCTCTGCCCTTTACCAATCCAGCCATGGGCCCATCCATCTGGCCCAGCAAGACTCACTCTCATTTCATCAGTACATAAAACCTTAGAAAAATCAGTCTTGAGATATTTCTTGGCCCAGTCTTGACGTTTCAGCTTGTGTGTCTTGTTCAGTGGTGGTCGTCTTTCAGCCTTTCTTACCTTGGCCATGTCTCTGAGTATTGCACACCTTGTGCTTTTGGGCACTCCAGTGATGTTGCAGCTCTGAAATATGGCCAAACTGGTGGCAAGTGGCATCTTGGCAGCTGCATGCTTGACTTTTCTCAGTTCATGAGCAGTTATTTTGCACCTTGGTTTGTCCACACGCTTCTCGCGACCCTGTTGACTATTTTGAATGAAACGCTTGATTGTTCGATGATCACGCTTCAGAAGCTTTGCAATTTTAAGACTGCTGCATCTCTCTGTAAGATATCTCACTATTTTTGACCTTTCTGAGCCTGTCAAGTCCTTCTTTTGACCCATTTTGCCAAAGGAAAGGAAGTTGCCTAATATTTATGCACACCTGATATAGGGTGTTGATGTCATTAGACCACACCCCTTCTCATTACAGAGATGCACATCACCTAATATGCTTAATTGGTAGTAGGCTTTCGAGCCTATACAGATTGGAGTAAGACAACATGCATGGAGAGGATGATGTGGACAAAATACCCATTTGCCTAATAATTCTGCACTCCCTGTATTTACGCAGAGTCAGGGTACTAATCGTATCGTTGATTTAGATGTTTGTTAACTGATGTGAACATTAAGTGACATAAAAGCAAAAATGGTGTGAATATGAGGGGTAAATACTTTTTCACAGCTTTGTACGTTTGTCGTTCTTCCTGATCTAGTCTGACTTCTGTGCTCTTGTTTCCAGATTAATGAGCGGAGTGAAGAACAACGTTGGGAGAGGGATCAACATCGCCCTGGTTAACGGTAAAAACAGCAGCCTGAGCAGAAAACATCAAGATGCCACATCAGTCTGAAAACTAAAACATTATGTTTCTGGAAACCTATCATCTGTAATCCAACGGGAACCTTTTCTTCTTTCCAGGGAGAACCGGAGAAGCTCTTAAAACGGCTTATTTTGACATGTGGGCAGGAGGTCAGTGTTCTTTAACTTCTGACCGTTTGAAGACGACTTTAGTAAACTAAACATGCCTGACTCTGTGCAGATGTGGCTCCATTCATTAAGTTCCTGAAGGAAATTGAAGATGGGACGATTGTGATGATGGCATCGTTTGATGATCCAGCAACAAAGTAAGTTGTTATTTCCTGTTAACACTCTATGTAAAATGATTCCTGCCTAAATCATTAACAATACTCTTGTCTTGTTTAACAGACTCAACGATGAAGCCAGGGCGATTATTGCTGATTTTGGCAGCACGGCCGTGGGCGGTCTGGGCTTCCGGGACAACTGGATCTTTGTGGGAGGAAAAGGCATCAAGACCAAGAGTCCGTTTGAGCAGGTAACTGCACCCCCAACGTCTACAAATGTTTCCTCGTCCGCTGCTGCTGCTTCTCTTGAGTGAGTAAAGCAAGGCGTGCGTCATCATGTTCTCACACTGTATGTGTGGTAGCAACACGTCGGACCTTCAAAACTGGAATTGCAAAGACTAGAAACCTGGAAGAGAGGAGACTGTTGTGCTGTTATGGATGTCTGTTGTCCTTGAGGCTTGCGGTAGTTGTTGGAGCATATGCCGGGGTTTATGGGGGTTGGAGGCAGAAAAACAAATGTGATGTTGGGAGTGATCCGAAGTTTTGGGATCAGTTTTCATGTGGTACCAACACAGAAAACACGCTTCCTTGGTGACCGTTGCCACTTTGTGTGGAGAAAAGTGTGAAGATAATGATGTCTTTGGACAAGGACATGGCTGGGCGGACATGTTGTCCTGGTATTTGGATCATGCTGCTTCTTCTGCGAGATGCCCTCACGAGGGATGAGAAGAATTTCAAACATGCTTGATTTTCGTGCCATAGCCTTAAAAAACAGGTCAACCCCTACCAGAGTCTTAGTCAACTTCCTGTTTGAAAAATGCAACAAATGTTGTTACCTGGCAGACCCAGAGGGCGGAGCCGCTAACAAATACACACACACACACACACACAGGCCCACAATGGCATTGTGACATCGTATGGTACCAGCCAACATCGTAGTGCAGAGTTTTTACCTGAAGAGGGCGCAACTCTGACAGTTTTAGCAGAATATTTACATTTTAACTAAGATGCGCTTATGTTCCAAATTATTGCCTACACGTGTCAACAGCACAATTAGACACTCATTTATATAGTTTATCAGCAAAATGTTGATTTGGGGGTGTACAACGAAGAACTGAAGAAAAAGTTTTATCTGACTTATATGCTAATGGAAACCCAGGGAAAAGGAAACAAAACCATCATGACGCTGAGGTATGCGTCTCAGACCGGTTGGGTTAGTACCAAACCAGTTTGGTCAGTTCAGAAGACTAGTGTGTTTGACTGCTTAGGAACAAATGACCCTTCTCCCTGCTGATCATATAAGGCTCCCCATCGAGTCTGACTAAAGCCTTCACGAGGGAGAGACACACACTGACGGAGACCATTCGCCCTTAAGCCGGGCGTACACTGTGCGACTTTTTCACTTTTTTGAGCCGATTTTCCAGTCGTGCGAGAAGCCACGACATCGGGGCGAGTTTTGCGCCGAGCGGTCGTGTAGTGTACAGGGGGTTACGAGAGGCGATTAACACCACGTGACCAGCCGCCGATCAGCAGTCGTGAGGTCGCAGGGACTTCTGGTGTGTTTAATATTTCGCTCGTCCCTCGTGAGGGTATCGCACTGTTGAAGCGGCGCTGCGAGCAGCTGCGAGCAGCTACGATCCAAAAAGTATCAGAACCGCTCACGACGCATGCGCGCGCAATCCTGCATCAACACCGGCCGGTCGCTCGCTATTTCCCTAATAATACACGCTGTTCGTTTTTGTTTCTACACGTTTTTTTACTCAAAGATTGTCAAGAAAGCGTGTTTGTCGTGTTCATGTCAAATTAAACTGATCACAAAACACAGATTCACTTTCTTTATTTCGTTTTCCTCATCCAACCCCCATAAATCCCTGTGTGTCCTCCTGCAGCACTCCTGAAGGACAACAGGCAAGACAAAAAAGTCTGACGTGTTGAGTAAAAACTGCTATTTTTAGCACATTTTTAGGGCCGACGTGTTGCTACCAGACGTACAGTGTGAGCAGTCAGATCGCATGCGAGAACTGGGTCGTGCAGTGTGAGCACATGACTCGTGAGATCTGCCCTGCGAGGAAGTCGTACAGTTTGAGCTGAAGCTGAACGCTGCGAGTGAAAAAGTCGCAGTGTACGCCCGGCTTTATACTTCTCCGTCTCCTGGAGTGTGGCAAAGCAATTCCCCACCAGGACAACAGAGGGCGAAGCGCTGTTCTGTGGTATACTGTCATGTATCCGGTCCAACATGGTGTGTTTGTTTTTTGTATTTCAGAGACTTTAACGCAGAAAAATTTGTCCCTCATCCTCCTCCACCTCATGCACTCGCCACCTCTAAATCAGTGTTTCCCGTCATTTCCGTCCACAAATGAAACGCTTGCTGCTTATCTTTTCACTCCTCCAGTCACGGGAATGAAATATTCTTTTTTTTTGTTTGTTTGTTTTTTTTTTTTTTTGTTTTGTTTTTTTCCGCGAGGTATTCTTCAAGCTTCTCGGTGTCTGCTGTTAGATATCTTTGGCTCTATTCTTCAATCAATCAATCAATACTTTATTAATCCCAGAGGGAAATTAGAGTTTCAGTACACACAATTCAGAGATCAGACATACATGGGCAAGACATGACAAGAATTGGTGACTGTGGTCATTCGCAACCCGAGTCGCTCTACCTTAATAGAGATAAGAGGGTAACATGAGGATTGGTTCAGGTGGAGGGAAAAAAAGGCACTTCAGCTTTACCCTCCACTCTGCAAAAAAAAAACCTCAGATATGCAACAGACTTCAGACTACACAACATAACATGAGACTCCAATAGGAGGGGGGGCTGGGATTCTGCTTCCCCCATCGAGAGCAGCCATCTACGGCACTCATCTACTGTACAGTCACAGGTGGGAGGGAGATCTTGGGAGAAGCAAAAAGCAATGGCAGCGCTGTAGACGACAGCGGCGTCCTGACCAAGCTTGTTCTCCGTCTCAACGGACGGATGTTTAGAAAAGAGATCTTGATTTCCTCCGTCCTTGCGAGCCTGTCGGAGAGCTCGCGAAAGGACGGCTAATGGTGTCGCGTGCATCTGTCCCGACACAGACTGAGAAGTATTAATTAGGCATAACATCCTAGATCGGTGTCACACCACAGCAAACACGGCTCCTAGTTTAGTATTTGTTTCTTGCGTAGAACAAACATTTGAGCAGGACGTGTTACATTCCCATGTTCTCTCTCCATTTCCTTCCTCAGCACATAAAAAACAGTGCAGACACCAACAAGTACGAGGGCTGGCCCGAGGTTCTGGAGATGGAAGGCTGCGTTCCTCAGAGGCAACAGGAATGATCCCCGCTCCTGCATCATCTCACCAGTTCACCCTGTCTATCCAGCTGTTGGCATTAGCATCGTTGGCAACCCGACTTCTGCGTGGAGAGATGGGTTTTTCCATCTCAAAACATTTCAAAAGGAAAGAAAAGCTGCAGGAACTCTGACACTTGGCCCAGTAGCTCTTCTGTCGGATGGTACGGAGCTAACTGCTTTGAGGTAAAAGTGGAGCGCACTGAGATTCGTCTTCATCAGTTTGCGTCCGTAAATCCCAAAGACAAGCTTTTGCTTTATTTTTGACAAACATGAATGTCGTTGGTCACATTTTTATGAGGCTCTGCTTTCTTCTCTTCTTTCGTGCCTTAATGCTACTTTTTGTAACCAACAAGTCTGATATTTGTATTTTTCCACTTAGAGTTGTTTGTTTTTTGCGGAAATTCTAACTAACAAACTTTGTAGACACTTTTCCAAAACTGATGTTTGTAAATAAGTATTTAGTGAGGGAAACCAGATTAAAAAGATGTTAATATAATTAATGTATTAATATAATTTCTTTAAATAAATGCTGTGACCTTGTGTGTGTCTGTGTGAGTGCGTGCTAACTTTGTTGGTTAAAAGTTGTAACATGACATTTAGAACAGACAGAAGAGCTTTAGGAAGTTTCAGCAGAAAACCAGAATTTTGGCCTTTAGAGTGAAAGAAGACCAGCCTTTTCCATCCCCTGACCCTTAACCCCTCCCACCCTCTGGTAAGTGGGGGTTTAGGTTATTTTATACTAAACAAGTTTAAGATGGTAAACTGGTGGTCATTAGTTTGCTCAAGTTAAACGTGAAAAGGTGGAGTTAATAACCGGATTGTTTATTTTATCCTTTAATCGGACACTAAGCTCTAATTTATTGGTGTTTATTGCATCATAATTTAAGATTTCACGACAAAGTAATTTTGGTGGAATTATTATAGTTTGTGCAGCAACTTTGTTATTTCTAGTTCATTAAGAGCCGGTCATGTGGCGGCGGCACTTAGACACGAAGACTCAGATGTTCAAACTGAGCTTCAGAAACTGCCCATCTTATGGGATATTCACCGTGATACGGGGTTTTTATAGGTGTGCAACACATAAAAAACATTTTTTAAATGATTATTTCTGATTATAATCGTTCACTGAATTTTTCATGTGAAATGGTCTCCTACACCAGCGGTTCCCAAACTGAGGTCCCTACAGTTTGGTCTTTGCTGAGGTTGTGAGGTCAGTAAGATTTTATTTGTAAACATTACATGTATAAAGTCTCAACACACCCATCATAACGCCATATAAAAGTTATAATTCTGTATGTCTGTATAAAGTTTGCAAATGATCACATAATTCACAGCCCAAATCCAACAGAACCAATCGGGCTGATTCGGTTCGGGTTCGGTCTCAGGTTACAACTCCAGTGTTCAGCCCTGCAGTACCACATGCAGACCAAAGTTTCCTACCCGGTAAATACACCGGCTCTGACACATCTGGAGGCTACGCTGGTGCGGCTGTTAAAATAACAACTACATTCCACTATCATTGATTATGGTACTCTTCTATGATGCGGCATCGTTTATGCCTGCATCTCATGTAGTGATTATTTGATTCTTTTCCTCAGCTCTAACTATCCTACACCTCCCCGTCGGCCGTCAGGGGTGGGGGGTGCGCGCGGGGTTTGGAGGCCACAAAGAGCGGGCTCGCGGGTCACGTCCGCGGATCACTGGCTTACTGCCAATATGCATGACTGCATGTGGCTTTGTAATTATTTTTCTTCAAATTATTCTCTTACGTGTTGGTGCAGCTGTAACAAGTGAATTTCCCCACTGTGGGATCAATAAAGCCTATTCTAATGTGTGGGAAAAGTCTTGGGAACCATTGTCCTACACCCGTCTCCTGCATTAGCTTCTGATCGTCAACTTTTCTATTCCTCTAGGATCGGAAAAGCCTGACAGATCAATGTCACACTAAAATTAGCATTCATGAACTCACCCATCTTGACTCACGACAGGGAAGGCAGTTGTTCTTTTAGTGTCCAGGAAACCGCAGAGAATGCCTAAGCTAGTACAAGCTAACCATTAATATTAGCAACTACACCATACAGCAGAACTCCTCCAGGCTTGTGCTGTTTGTAGAGACAAAACATCAGAGTTACAGAGCAAATTGAGTCAGTGGTAGAGTCATGTTGCTGTTGGCCAATCAGAGGCGAGATGCCCAAAACTTGCCTTCTGAAGCTCAGCTCTGATGTAGCTCACTTCTAGTTCCTGGAAATGGTGCACCAGTGGTTTTGTGAAGTGCCTAATGATTTTTATCTCGAGAGGCGCTACATTAAATATTGTTTTCTTTCTTTTCTTTCTTTTTTGTCCCCTGAGTACAACTTACAAGACATTCATTCCTATTAGAGACCGTTGCAAATGTACTAAATAAATAGGTGTTCAACACCTTTGAATAAATGTCTTAAATCTGAGATAAATAATCCCCTTTTTTCTCTAAGCACAGCTCACAAAGGTTGTTTCATGATGTCAGTCTTATCTCAATTTACAGAACCAACCTATACTTTACTTTTTACAAAAGGACCTCACTGATGCTTTACAGATGAGTCACCTCTCATGGGTGTTGCTGCTGCGACATTTTAACTTATTTTTCAGTTGGAGACTTAAAATGAGAACTTTATTTCTTAACCCTAGAATAGCACAGTAAAATAAGTGAAACTGAAAAAAAGCAAAAAATAAAAATAAAAAATATCAAATTACATTGAAACAATTACTGACACCCATATAAGGTGTCATTCAGGCATGACTGTTTTTGTTTGGTTGTAATAAGGACAATTCCACCAGAGGGCGCTGTTGTATCAATCTGACCCGTCTTTTCTGGATTTCTGCAATAATTTAGTGTTTCTTGAGGGATGCAGCAGGATTTATAATCATGCAGCCATGTTTATAATATAGCACGTCTGATTTAATCCTTGTCATGAGGAAGCAGTCAGTTAGTAATATTACAGAGGTGTTAAACGCTTTAACTTCTTGCTTGTTTTCTTTGCTTTGTCTGTCTTTGTCAACACAAGGTTTTATTTTTACACCAGTGAAGTGACTTTCTGAAACACACACACACACACACACACACACACACACACACACACACACACACACACACACACACACACACACACACACACACACACACACACACACCTTTTGTTTTTTATAAGGTTATGCAGGATAGATTTTTTTCCCCAGAATGACTTGTGATGCAGGTACCTAAGTCATAGTTTGTTTCTCTGCGGTTAGAAATGTACAAACGTGTATTCTGTCTGGAGCCGGCATGGGCCGAATGTCCTCCACGTGGGAGTGAAGCAGCTCCAAACTGGTCTCGTAAACAACACGACTCACGGTGATTATGCACGAATGTGGCCCGTCTCCATGACACAGACCTCCGCTAGTCCAGCGGGGGCCTGAAGGCACACAGATATGAACTTGAATATGAGAACAACACACCCTCACAAAAGGTGCATTTAAAGTCCGGCCTCTCTCTTTCTCCGTGCTCCCAGTATAAATCTGTCCCAGTAAACAAAAGTTGACTGGCCCTGGAAAGGCTTCTGAAGAGCTTTTCCTTGTGACCTCTGACCACCTGACTCAGAAAACGTCAAGAAGGAAGCCGTTCTCGTTAGATAAAAACTTGTTGTCAGTTCCTCCATTCTGTTGGTTCAACGAAGGTTTAGTAGGTTTTTAAACGAGCTTTGTTTCCATGAACACCTCCTTCCTCTTCAACACAGGATGGCATTGTTGCACACAACTCCGGAACGCGGGATTTGTTGTTGACGGGTTTTTGCCTTACACAAGATAACCTTATGAAGAGCATTTATTATTTAGTCCATCTAACTCATGTCCCCCACAGGAAGTTGACTCTCCATCACTTTTATCAGATTATTTAAGGATTTTTAATGTTTCCCAGAACTTCTCATGGGTCGGAGTTCTTTATCTGAACGTAAACATTCTGTGTTCCCCCGATCCTTTCTCTGATTCCAAACAAAGCCCGACCGTCTTGTTTACTTTCAGCACATGGACCGCCCCACCTCCCACCCCCACCTAACTTTTTCTACAAGCTTCTTTCACGATTTCCGACCCTCCCCCTCTACGTGCACACCGCCCTGGTTTTCTACACCACCTCCCATTTTATGACTGCCTAGTCCCAAACACACATGTGCACACACACATACACTCATGCACACACACACACACACACACACACACACACACACACACACACACAGCTGTGTTTACACTCTGCGGTAGCTTCCTCCTGACCTCAGCACAGACGCCACGCTAATCACAGACTGTGATCGATAACCGATCATATGGATGTTTTCACACCGATCCTCCGTAGATGGATCCTCCCAGTTGTACTGTATCGCTCTAGACTCTAAAATGAGGCGATTGATGAGATTAATCTGGTTTAAATGCTGAGAAACAGCTTTTATAACCCCCACTAGTTCTCTTCGTGTTGCCTCTTCTGTCATGTGTGAAAATAAAGATCTCATTCATCTTTCAAAGCATCCAGCTTAACGTCAGAAAGCCGAAGTTGACCAGATTGCCACCGGCAACAATCCAAGTTCAACCACTATATTTGTTGACGTCCCTCGAGCAGATGCTTTTAAAGATTTGAGTTTTTTTGAACACAGTAAGAGAATTTGCTTTTAATGCTGTTGTGTCTGAATTTTACCTTCCAGTTACACACCAGTAGATCCAGATGTTGTACCCTTTGTTTATGGTTATTATACCATTTTCAATGATGATTTCTGATTATAATCAGTCACTTTGAGTGTTTCATGCAGGCTGAACATAAAAATAGTCTCCTACACCTATCTGCTGCATTAGCTTCTGATAGAAAATAGACAGTGGAACACTAGGATTTGAAAAGCCTGAAAGATCTACGTCACACTGTCACAACATTCATGGACTCACCCATCTTGACTCGCAGCGGGGAAGGTTGTTGTTTTTTTAGCTTCCAGGAAACAGCAGAGAACGTCTCAGCTAGTAAAGGCTAACCGTTAGCATTAGCAACTTCACCACACAGCAGAAGCTCCTCCCGGCTTGTGGTACTTGTGGAGATAAAACTTCAAAGTTACAAGTCGGCAATAGTCACTTTGCTGTTATCCAGTCAGGGTGACCAAATATCAGGAAATAAGACCCCCCCACCCTCCGCCAAGAGACCACGGCAAATGTGTTGATTGCTGTGTTCCACACCTTTAAGTCAAAATCTGTAAAATTCACAAAGTTGAAGCCGTCTTCATTTGGATCGCCTCTGAAAGTTAACCAGTTGTTTCTGTTTATCTAATGATCGATTTCTGAGAGCTTCTCTAAAATCCATCATGAAATGTGTTGGTAGAAAACAAAAACAGGCTTGACTCCAACAAGTCGGAGTTCACATAGAGGAAGGTTCTCAGCTACTAAAGCTCCAACTCAGCTGACCGAGTTTTCGCCATATTTGCTTTGGCAAATGCTGATTAGCTATGACTGCCATCTTGAATCCCATTGACTCCAAAAGCTAAACAGCTGTTTGCATA